AGGAAAGTGGGGATGGGGGAGCGCACGGCGCCAGGTCCCCGGGCTGAAGCTGCTCGCGTGCGCCCCGACGGCGGCAGGGGGCGTCTGCGTTTTCAGGCTCTGTTGTTTGTGTTTCCCCACGTCTGGCAAAGCGAAGCCCCGCTGGTCCTCGTGCGCCTGGACTGGGGGCGTGCGGGGGGCGGCCTTTTCATTTCAACTAGGGAGGCGCTCAGAAGGCTTGGGGGGCACGGGGAGCCCCGCCCATCTGGGCCATGGCGGAAGGCGCCAACTGCGGGAGGTCAGGTGCGTCCTGTCCGTCCATGCTGGCATCGATGGCTGACGCCAGGAAGTTCTTCCTCGAGTCTAACCCGATGCCTCCCTGTTACAGCTCTTGAGTCACTTCCTTTTGTGGCCTTGGCCAGTCACAGATGGCACGGACACGGACCTCGGCCGTCTCCCATCCCCACGGCCCTGTAGACTCAGTACTTGCAGTGCTCACACACACAGACAAGCACACGCAGACGTGCATGTGACATGCATACCTACACACTTACACACGGAGACACACACACATGCATACCCACACAGATATGGAGACATACACACAGAGACACAAACACACCAGACACACACACATGCATACCCACAGATATAGAGACACATGCAAACACACCAGACACACACATGCATGCAAAGATATGTGCACACGTAGGAATATACACAGACACGCACATGACATGCATACCTACCCAGATACACACAGAGACACACAGACATGCACACGCAGACATGCATACCTACACACATACACAGACACGCACACATGCATACCCACACAGATATAGAGACACACACAAACACACCAGACACACACACATTCATGCAGAGATGTGCACACGTAGGAATACACACAGACACGCACATGCAGAGACACAGACACGCACATGACATGCATACCTGCACAGATACACACACAGAGACACAGACACACAAACACGCACATGCGTACCCACACAGATATAGAGACATACACATGGAGACACACACACATTCATGCAGATATGTGCACACGTAGGAACATACACAGGCATGCAGACACACACACACACACATGACATGCATACCTACACAGGTACACACAGAGACACACACAGACATGCACACGCATACCCACACAGATACAGAGACACAAACACACCAGACACACACATGCATGCAGAGATATGTGCACACGTAGGAACATACACAGGCAGAGACACAGACACACACGACATGCACACGCACAGAGACACGCACACACATATCCACACAGATACACCATGCAGACACACACACAAGCACATCACACACATGTATGCAGGGACATGTGCACACACGGACACACATATACACATGCACACACACACAGGGCCACGCGCCCTGCACACACAAACGAGCCGGGCACACGTTGCCACACAAAGACAAGGCACGATTTACCCGCCAGGAAGCGGACCCGCGCCGTCTCCGGCCCGTCGCGTTGAAAACGGGAGACGTGCTCGATGACGTCCGGGAGGTCGAACACGGTCACCTGCAGACGCGGGTACTCGCGGGCCAGCTCTCGGGCCAGGGCGCCCGTGCAGCCTGCGGGGAAGCAGACACACGCTCTGCGGCAGGGGCCTGGCAACGCAGGCAGAGCCCCGAGGAAGCCCCAAGGTCCAACACAACAAAACCGACATGCTATTCAGGGGCAGGCGTTGACGGCCCTGAGTCGGGACTGTGCAAGCCGGTGCTGGCGAGTGTGGGTGGGTGGGGGCAGATGAGCAGGGGAACCCTTACAGCCTAGTGGTGGCGGCTGTTCTCCTTCCTTCTGCAGAATGCAGACGCAATGGCTGGCCCTGCAGCAGCTATTCTGCGCCACAAGGAGGAATGCCATGCAGGGGATGGAGACGTGCACCTGGCAGCATGGGAGCCCTCTCAAGTCCCTGATCCCACTGCCCACCCCCCACAGGGAAGGCACCTGCTTCTCCATCCACTGTCCAGGAGTGGGGCCTAGGCTGGGGTGGGGTGGAGGGTGAGTGGGGCAGAATGAGATGCGGTGGGAAGGGACACAAGGGCTCCGTGGTCCTCTCTTCCCTCAGTAGCCACCAGAATGGGCCGTGTAACCTCTAGGGGGTCCCGGGCCATCCCCGGAAACCTGCCGGAACGTGGGAACATGTGCCCAAGACCTGGGACTCACCCCAGCCCAACTTAGGTCCTTGTGTGTCCTGCACACACACAAAAGCAGTTCGCGCGTCACACGAGCAGGTCGGGGGCCGGGGCTCAGCACAAGGGAAGAGACGCACCGAGCTGTTCGCACCCGGGTCCTGGCGGGGAGCTACACACCTCCCAGGTCGCAGGCGGAGGAGAATCGGGACAGGTCAAAGGCCGTGGCCGCGGGGCGCGCGGTCAGCTTGGCGAGGCCGTGCGTGGCCCCCACGCACCGCAGCTGGTCCTCCTTGCTCTGGAGCGGGCCGTCCTGCAAGAGACCTGGGTCTGAGCAGGGGCCGGAGCGGGACCGGGGCTCCCGCAGCTCCCAGGGGCAGCTCCGCGAGGCTCCATGGGGTGGGGCCGCCGTGGGCTGGGAGGGGCGGGCCGGCCGGGCAAACCGGACCCCACAGCCGAGGGCGTCCCCCATGGAAGGACCCGGTCTGCCCCGCACCCTGCACGGCAAGGGTCTGAGCGTCCCGGACAAGGAGACGCTCATCCTGGGGGCTCCCGGCTGCCACGAACATCTCACGGCAGGGAAGCCGGGGACAGGGAACCACAAAGTCTCCCCACGCACCCCGCTCGGCCGCCGCCACGCTGCCATGGGGGCGTCTCGGTGGCCGGCTCCTCCGAGCTGCACCAACTCCCCGGCTGGCACCCGCCGGGCTCCAGGCGAGCTTGGCTGTGTTTTGTTCCAGGACTGCCGCTAGGTGGGTCCACTCCCGAGGCCACCCTGCGCACACGGTCTGTCCCCAGCGGGTCCATCCGGAGCCGGTCTCAGCTATGTTTGTGTCTGCCTCTCTCTCCCTGTCTCTGTCTCTCCGTCTGTCCCTCTATCTCTGTCTCCCTGTCTCTGTCTGTCTCCCTCTCCCTCTGTCTCTCTCCATCTGTCTCTGTCTCTCCCTCTATCTCTGTCTCCCTGTCTCTGTCTCTCCCTCTGTCTCTGTCTCCGTCTCTGTCTCTCCCTGTCTCCCTCTGTCTCTGTCTCCCTCTGTCTCTCCATCTCCCTGTCTCTGTCTCTCCCTCTGTCTCCCTGTCTCTGTCTCTCCCTCTGTCTCCCTGTCTCTCCCTGTCTCTGTCTCTCCCTTTGTCTCCCTCTGTCTCTCCGTCTGTCTCTGTCTCTCCTTGTCTCCCTCTGTCTCTGTCTCTCCCTCCGTCTCTGTCTCTCTCTGTACCTGTCTACCTGTCTCTGTCTCGCTCTGTCTCTCTGTCTCTCCCTCTGTCTCTGTCTCCCTCTGTCTCTCTCTCCCTCTCCCCCGACACACACACCTGCCTGAAGCCCCAGCCTCCCCCGGCCGCATTTCCACACCGTGTCACACACGACCCGACTCAGCGCTCACCCCCACTGCGTGCCGGGCCAACGCTGCCTGGGAGGAGCGAGGCTGTGCCCACCCAGGGTCCCCAGGCCCATTGGGCACAGCCCTGCAGAGCCAGAGCCGCCGCCTGGACAGGGCACACAGGACGCACGGCAGCCTCCGCTGGGCGTCAGCCTCAGGACGCTCCTCCCCGGGGAGGAGGCGGGAGGGGAGAGACGTAGAAAGAGCTTTGCAAACCGTGGCCCCGAGTGAGCCAGGTCTCTTCCGTGTCCACTTAGGAGAAACTGCATAACTCAAGGCAACCAGTGGCCCCTTTTCCAGGAGAAGATTCTTTTTGTGGGTGCTGCAGCGTGACACTGGGGACTGCCAACCCCGAGCTGTCCCAGAACAGAGTGAACCAGCAGCCGCCCGGCGTGAGGTCCGAGCGTTTCAAATCCAGAGCCGGGCGGCCACGTTCAGATGCGTTTGACCACGAGGGTGAAATTCCTTCGCTTTGCTGAACCTGACGCCAACGTGGAAGTGGGGATGGTGACGGTGTCCCCGCAGCCCCCGCAGGACCGTGATGCAGAGTGGGAGGACGGAGCCCAGGAAGGTGCTGTCTGCCGGCCCCTCGTCAAGTGACCGGAGCTGTGGCCGGTCAATCAGCCCCACTCCTGAGCCCCCAACGTCCCCCCGCCCAGACCACTCATCTGGGATCCGCCCTCAGGACTCTCGGCATCCCAAGGCAAATGGTCAGTGGCTTTCTAACTGGCTCGAGTCATCCTCAGGCCAGAGACGGATTCATCAGCTGCCCATAGATCCATCTGCCCACGTCCTTTAGCAAAACGTATGCCAGGGAAAGGGAATGTCTGGACTCACACTACCTGGAACAGATCTTGCGCCTTCCTTCCCAAAGCCCCGTGGCCTTGGTTGGTTCCCTCTCGAACAGCCGACTCCAGGTGCGTAAAGAGATTCCAGGTGTGCTGGTCGTTGTACATGATGAAGTCGTGCAGGGAGTGTTCGCCGTCCGACACCAGGTACAGATTCGATGACTCTGTGTTACGGTAACCTGAGGAAACGGGGAGGGTCGCGTGATTTCCTAAAAAGAACACCCACACAGACCTCACCGAAAGCGTAAAAAAGTGCTCAGCATCATTGAAATGTCAAAATAAACATCATCTATCTGACTATAGCAAACTGTACGCTTGGAGTTGGCTTGATGGGGATCAGCACCGACCCAGCCCGAAATGCCAACGGCTATGACTGTTCCCCAAAGAGTCGGCATTGTCTGCGTGGTCAGTGGCCACGCTATAGTTCTTCCAGCCAACACCAGCCTAGGTGTTGCCGTGGAGGTGTTTTGTAGGTGTGGCTAGCACATACGTCAGTCTGACTTTAAGTCAAGGGGATAAACCTCCATAATGTGGATGGGCCTCATCCAACCCACTGAAAACCCTAAAAGCAGAGATTGACATTTCCTAAAGAAGAAATTCTATTTCCAAGATGGCAGCCCAGTTCCCACCTGAGTTCTCAGCCTGCCGGCCTGCCTTGTAGATTGTGGACTGCCACCATCGTGTGGATCCTTCAGATAAATCTCCTAGTTTGTATCCTAGGGGTTCTGTTATTCAGAAGAACCCACACTCATGCAGGGGCCTTCCCCCTCCACCCACTTCACACCCAGCTCAGCTGTCCACGGGACGCAGCCCCCAGCTCCCTTCCAGAATGCCCCCTCCTACAGAATTGGACGCTGGGAGGGACAGGTCTTGGTGGTGGAGACCCACAGGTGTGAACAGATGGCCTCACACAAGTACAGCCATCAGGCACAAGAAATGGCCCTGTGTCATGTTAACAAAGAAATGGTATCACACCTACTGAGGGGCAGAAGAGCCCGTGTAGACACGTGGGAACTATCTCAGGTCTCAAGTGGACAAAGCATTTGCAAAAGGAGTTGTAAGGTTCCAAGGTGGCAGTGATGGAAAGTCTGGATGTAGGAACTTTTGAACACATGCAGGTGTTATTTTTACTAGGTGAATAGTACTGCGATGCCCTGGCTGAGAAACAGGTTCTGTCCTGTATGCTCCAAACGCTAAGGATGTTGTCGTACATCTCTGTGTGAAAGGCAACAATTCTGGCCTCCACCAGGAGACCCTTTGCCTTCCCAAGCTGCTCTGGGAGCAGGGCATGTACCCTTCTGCTGTAGGACTATGTGGAAGAGGTCTGTTCAGTTCAGCAAACAGATATTGTCATCCATGCAACTGCCCACCCATCCAGTCATCCATCGATCCATCCACCCACCCACCCATCCATCCACCATCTATGTAACCATTCACCCATCCATCCACCCACCTATGCATCTATCCATCCATCCACCCATCCAACTATCCACTTTCCCATCCATTCATCCATCCACTCATCCATCCATCCATTCACCCATCTATGCAACCATTCACCCATCCATCCACCCACCCAACCACATCCATTCATCCATGCTATCATCCATCGATCCATCCACCCATCCAACTATCCACTCTCCCATCCATCGATCCACTCAACCACCCATCCATCAACCCCATCCATCCTTTCAGACTTCTACCCATCAAACCATCCATCCATGTATCCATCCACCTACTCATTCATCCATCCATACATACATTCACCCATCCATTCATCCATCCACCTGTCTGTCCTTTTACCCATCCACTCATCCGTCCATCCACACATCCATTCATCCATCCATCCCTCCATCCTTCCACTCATCCATCCCTCCATCCATGTATCCATCCACCTACTCATTCATCCATCCATACATACATACATTCACCCATCCATTCATCCATCCACCTGTCTGTCCTTTTACCCATCCACCCACCCATGCATCTATCTACCCACCCATCTATCTATCCATCCATTCACCCATCCATTGATCCACCTACCCTCCATTCATCCATCCACTCATCCACTCATCCGTCCATCCACACATCCATTCATCCATCCATCCATCCACCCCTCCATCCTTCCACTCATCCATCCACCCATCCATGTATCCATCCACCTACTCATCCATCCATCCACCCATTCATCCTTTTCCCCATCCACCCACCCATCCATTCATCTACGCACCCATCCTTCCATCCATTCACCCACCCACATCCATCCCATCCATCCTTTCACCCTTCTACCCATCAAACCCTCCATCCATCCATCCATACATACATACTTTTACCCATCCATTCATCCATCCACCTGTCCATACTTTCACCCACCCACCCATCCACCCATCTATCCATCCATCCTTTCATCCTTCCATCCATCCTTTCATCCTTCCATCTATCCATCCATCCTTTCATCCTTCCATCCATCCATCGATCCATCACTCTACGTATGTATCCACCCATCTACCTACCTACATACCATCCATCCATCTACCCACCCATTCATCTCTCCATCAGTCCACCCACCCATCTCACCATTCATCTATCCGTGTATCTATGAGCTCCACTGATTATTGATCTATCTATGTATCTATCTATCTATCACCTATCGATGGCAGTGGTTCTTAACTGGGCAATTTTGCCCCCAGGAACACTTGGCAAATTCTAGAGGCACTTGCGGTTGCTATGATTAGGTGGCAGGTGCTCCTGGTATCTGGTGGGTGGAGCCCACGGATGCTGCTCAACACGCCACATGCACAGGAGGCCCCACCACAGAGAGTCATCCAGCCTGAAACGTCACTTGCGCTGACACTGAGAAAGGCTGCCTTGGCATGGAAGACTCTTCTCATCTCTGTGCCCATCGCCTGTCATCTCTCTATATCATCAACTTACATCGATATATCTATGCATTTAGCATGTCTGAATCTGCCCATCCACCCACCATATACGTCTATCAAAATAAATAAGTAAATGGATAAACGTGTATGTCTGTGTGTGTGCCCTGTTGGCTCTGTTTCTCTGCAGAACCTGGACTGATGCAGCCCGTTTGAGACCAGACTCTGTGGTCTGGTCTCTGTCTCACCTGTCCTCTGCCTCTCACCCTTTTGGGGAAGAAACATTCCCGGTGGACGGATGGTCTGGCCACCACCCTCGCCTTCCTCGGTGCCAGGCCACCGTCACTTAGTGAGTTTATCCTGCCTGCAAAGAGTGTCGGCAGACGCTGACGAGCCCTGTTACCTCGATCCGACTTCTCCAGGAGCCCCAGGGTGGCACAGACGTCCAGGAGCCTTTCGGTCCCGCACACAGAGGCGTCCACTTTGCTGGCAATGTCCACAGCCTTTTGGGGCACCTCGTCCTTCAACACATCAAACAGCTTCAGTTTGCACGCGGTGAACAGGGCCTGTGCGTGAGACGCGAGGGCGGTGAGACTCGTGCGGTGACCTGCCAGGGCCTCCTTTCTCCCACAGATCCCGGAGACAGAGGCCCAAACTGTCAGAAGTATTTAACTTGTCAAGTGAGCCTTCTTCCGCAGAGAACAGTGTGGAGCGACAGGCTCTAGTTCTCAGTGAAAACAAGGCGTACACAAGGTGAGAGCTCATCAGTGAATACCAGGAAGGGAAACAGACCCTTGGGCGAAAGACCCACGTGCTGCTCTTACGGGCTGAATTATGTCAGCAGAACCGTATGCTAAAGCCCTGTTTTGTTGGTTTTGTGGGGGGGTTTTTTGTCTTTACTTATTTTTTTTTTTCCAGTGGTAGAGACAGGGCCTCACTGTGCTCAGACTGGTGTCGAACCTCTGAGCTGCAGCTATCCTCCTGCCTCGGCCTCCCAGGAAGCTAGGACTACAGGTGTGAGCCACCCCAGGACCTCAGACTGTGAGTGTATTTGGAGATGGGTCTATAAAGAGGTGATTAACTTAAAATGAGGCCACTAGGGTGGCCCCTGATCCAACAGGATTGGTGTCTTTACAAGAAGAGGAGATGAGGACACAGACACACACAGAGGGATGTCCCAGCCCCTTCTAGGAGCCCGTCCCCAGGCACACAGAGTCCCCACGGTGCTCGACACACCTGCCCTCCCATGACAACAAAAATCCTTACGCCTGCTCTTCCCTGAAACACAAAACCCTCCTCTGACGCACGCAGGGCTTCGTCAAAGGCCTAGTGCTGGCCCGTGCGTGCTCCACGCGGCAGGGTGACGGCGGGCTCTGCGGCTGCCCGGGCTCCACCCGACCCCGGGTTCTGTGACATCAGAGCCTGGCCGCTAGGACTGCTGCGTGGTCCACCCTGGAGGCCAGGTGGGAGCACAAAACTGCTTAGCCCGTCGGACAGCAGCGTCATGGGCTACAGGTACATCGTTTAATTATGACTTTTAGGGAAATTAGAGAAAGTAAGGTGCAACGTTCCCCAACTTCCTTATACCACCTCATCACTAGATGTTCTCTCTCCTGATGATGAGACCACGCAGAGTGGCCCTGCTATGCCATCTGTCCTGGCCTGTGCCTCCCGCACCATGCACCCTATCTCTGCTCCCCGAGAGACACCCCTGCACAGCCCCCAGCCTGGGGAGAGCTGCACCCCTTCTCCATCTGCCCCCGGGAGCCCAGAGCTGCAGGAGGAGGAGGAGGAGAAGATGAAGGAGGACCAGAGCTCCAGAGTCCACCGGGTGTAGGAGCCCAGTGAGCAGCCGCTACCCAGGGCAGAGAAGGCGGAAGCCGCCTGGACAGACGGGCTGTGACACGGTCCACTCCCCAGCCTGGCCAGGCTGCCTGGGCGCTGCTCAGACTTATCAGTAACTGGCTGCCCACGCCAGTGACCATGCGGGATGGACCCAGAGGCCGTGGCCAGATGGGAACAGGCGCCCCTGAGCTCCAAGTTGGGCCTGCGGGTTCCTGCTGCACCCAGGATGCCCTCTTGCTGGGACAGCTGCCCAGGGTCATGATGTCACAGGGCATGAGGACTCACACCCTGACCCTGGCTGTTCTCCGGGCAGGCGGTGAGCGGGACTGAAGTCCACCCACTGTCCGGCCAGTGGCCTTCAGGGCACCCTGAGGTTGATGCGCCGTCAGCACTGCAGCCCGGCCCCTGCTGGGCTCACCTGAGACCTGAGCACCCTCAGAATCACACCGCGACCCTCTCTGTCCAGGCACCCACCACGTCCCCACGGCCCAGCGTGGCCACACACGCTGGTGGGAACCTAACCACAGAAGTCGCTCTGTCTGCGACAAGCCACTTAGCAAAGGCAGGTTCCTAACCCCAACGGCAGGAGTCCTCCTAAGAGACAGCAGAGGAGACACAGACGCAGAGGAGAAGCCACGTGGAGACGGAGGCAGAGACTGGAGTGACGCGGCCACAAGCCCAGGGACGCCTGGAGCCCCCAGGAGCCGGAAGAGGCAGGAAGGAGCCTCCCCCGGAGCCTGCGGAGGGAGCGCGGCCCCGAGACACCTGCGTCTCAGACTCCTGGGCTCCCGGACTGGGAGAAGACAAACTCCTATTGTTTTAAGTCACCGGATTTTGGTCATTTCCTATGGTGGCCCCAGAGATGGACACGGGTACCTTTGATGCTTTGAAGCCATCTATAAGTTCTAGAAGGTCTGCTGGGAACGGGGGTGGCTCCGCCGTCCTGTAACCATCTGCCTTGGGTGCGCTCCCTGCCTGCTGGTCGCCACCGGCCCCTGGCCCGTCCCAGCCTCTGCCCGCCTCCCCGTGTGCGGGCTCTGAGTGGCCGGCTTCCACGTCGCTCAGGTTCTCGAAGCTGTCCACGGGCGGGATGGAGTCCTGTCTGGCCCGCCGCAGGTCTTCCCGGCGGGGTGGGTAGTACAGCTCCACCAGCTTCTTGCAGAAGTGGTTCAGCGGGAAGCCCACCACGTTCAGGAAGTCCCCCTGGATGTACTCCACCAGCATGCCGCCCAGCGCCTGGATCCCGTAGCCGCCGGCCTTGTCCCTGGAGGGAGACGGCAGGGATCAGAACCGGCTTCCTCGGATGGGGCGTCCTAGGGCCAGAGCTGCACGATTGGACGGACGTCAGGACTACAGCAGATCCGGCCAGCGCTAGCCCTGGGTGGCTTCATATTGAGGAGGCCGGCGCCAGGCCGAAGGTCAACTTTACGCATATATTTCCCATGTGCAACGTGTTCTGATAGACGCACACACTGTGGAATGACTGAATCAAGCCAATCACCCTATTCCTGACATAACATCAAATACCTTCTTTTGGTAGTGAGAACACTTATGATCTACTCCCCCAACTGTTTTCTTTTTCTTTTTTTTTTTTTTTTGAGACTGAGTCTCGCTCTGTCACCTGGACTAGAGTGCCGTGGCGTCAGCCTAGCTCACAGCAACCTCCAACTCCTGGGCTCAATGGATCCTCCTGCCTCAGCCTCCCGAGTAGCTGGGACTATAGGTACCACCACTGCGCCTGGCTAATTTTTCTATTTTTAGTGGAGACGGGGTCTCGCTCTTGCTCAGGCTGGTCTCGAACTCCTGAGCTCAAGCGATCCTCCCTCCTCGGCCTCCCAGAGTGCTGGGATTACAGGCGTGAGCCTCCGCGCCCGGCCTCAGCCGTTTTCAAGAAGACAATGCATCGTTATTAATTACGTTCACCAGGCTGCATGAGACGTCTCCTGAACATCTTCTTCCTAATCTCCCCAACCCCGCCACGCCCTGCCGCCCTATTCTACTCTCTGTTTCTCAGACATCAACTTTTCTAGGTTCCATACAGAAGGGAGAAGATGTGGCACTTGTCTTTCTGTGCCGGGCTCATTGCACTGAATGTGCCCCACGTTCATGCCTGCTCTCACCAATGACAGGATCTCCCTTTTGTCTTGAAGGCTGAGAGTGCCCCGCCATGCACACGTGGTCAGGGTCCCACACAGGGTCCTCCGGCCCCACCCGCAGCCCCGAGACTCACATGGGCTCGCCGCTGTGGATGTATTCCCAGAGCAGCTCCTCCGACAGGTCCGAGAACTTCACCGTCGTTTCCTCGTAGAATTCGGAGACCTCAGTGTCCAGCTGGCCCTCTGCAAGGACAAAGTCGGGGAGGTGACGACACACCGGGAGGTGGGTCTGTGGGGAGAGCACCCCCACCAGCTGTCCTGGGGTGAAGTGTCCCCCCCAAAATTCACATCCACCTGGAACCTGGGAATGGGAGCTCATTTGGAAAGAGGGTCTCTGCAGATGTAGGTAAGAAGAGGGTCTTGAGACGAGATCATCCTGGATGAGGAGGTCCCTAAACCCAGTGACAGGTGTCCTCCTAAGGACAGCAGAGGAGACACAGACGCAGAGGAGAAGCCACGTGGAGACGGAGGCAGAGACAGGAGTGACGCGGCCACAAGCCCAGGGACGCCTGGAGCCCCCAGGAGCCGGAAGAGGCAGCAAGGAGCCTCCCCCAGAGCCTGCGGAGGGAGCGCGGCCCCGAGACACCCGTGTCTCAGACTCCTGGGCTCCGGGACTCGGGGGGGACACATTCCTGCTGTTTGAGCCCCCCAGGCTGTGGTCATTTGTGTGAGACCCCCAGGACACGCACACACCAGGCAGGCGTTAGAAACGTCTGAGCCGTAGGTGGGACGGGAGAGACAAGTGGGAAGCGCAGGGTCCAGCAGAACCACGTTCACCGGGCGGCAGGTGTTTTCTCCCCGAAAAGGCCCAGCCTGGACCAGACCCGGTCCCGGCGCCCCGACATCCGCCGCCCGCGGGGCAGGAGCAGCAGGGCCGGGTGCTCACACTGTCTCAGGGTCCTACCCCCGACGTCAACATTTCTCAAAGCAGCTTCAAAAATCGTTCCTCAATGTTTCGTACATTTTTTTAAAAACTCTTTTGCTGTGGCATAACTGACAGCCACAGACAGCGACTTCCTCCGCCTTTCAGAGCAAAAGGCCTCAAAAGAAGTATTTTTGTAAGGGTCACGTGGAATGCATTTTTTTTTCAAATTGACAGATAATTAATTGCACAGCAGGTTGGGGTCAGAGGCATCCTATGAGATAAACTGCAGGTTTTCCTTCCGCCTGGAGGCGTCCACGTCAGACAACACAACTTTCCTGGCAGGACGTGAGCAAAGCGCCTGCGGAGGGTGGGCGACTTGGCTCCGACAAACCCCAGGGTCCCCCCGCCGGCCGCCCACGTGCGCGATCCCTGGGTCGGGGGAGGCGAGTGTCGCGGGCGGCGCCGGTTACCTTTGCTGCTGCAGTGCACGATGGCCACGCCCGTGCAGACGCTGTGCTCCTTCCCGTTCAGCCTGCAAGACACAACCGCACCGTCTCACGTCGGGGGCTGTACGGGGGATTCCCAGAGACCGAGGAGGCCGGGTCTTTCCGGTAGGGGTCTGCTCCATGTGCTGGGACCAATGAGATGCTGTCTGGGGTCAGTGCCGTGGAATCCCAGCCGAGTGCCACCCCCCACCCCGCGAGCACGAGCTCGGCTGCACGCGGCTCCCCCGGGCAGGTGGCCGGACACGACGGCCGCCCTGCAGCCCAGAAGCGAGAAGCTGCCACTCGGTATCCGACAGGCGACGGGCGTGGGCAGGACACAGCGCAGAAGGCTGAGGATGGGACGCACGGGGGTCAGGGCTCACGGCCAGCCGGCTCCGCCCTTATCTCCCAGGGAAGGGGACCTGCAGCCCGACCTCCCAGGTGTTTCCGAGATAGAGCTGCGGCCACGTCGGTGCCCACCTGGACAGCATCCTGTAGGCGTCCTGCTTGTCCACCGGCTTCTCCAGAATGAGCCCCGACACCGTCTGCGGGAGGACAGGTGCACAGGGCGTCATCGGTCCCCACCCCCAGGCCACACCTGTGACGGCCCCACCGGCCACGTTTAAGAAGTCAGTTCTGTCGTGGACGTGGAATCCACACAACATTCACTGTGTCGTGCGTGTAGACGCCGTCTTCTCCCTGTGTCCTCACGGGGTCGTCCCTCTGTGCGTGTCTGTGTCCTCATCTCCTCCTCTTATAAGGACACCAGTCCTGTTGGATCAGGGCCCACCCTAGTGACCTCAGTTTACCTTAATCACCTCTGTAAAGACCCATCTCCAAACTCAGCCACAGTCTGAGGTCCTGGCGGTCAGGGCCTCAATAATTCCACTCACAATGGCAGAACTGCTGGGTCACAAGGTAATTCCATATTTCACCTTTTGAGGAACATGCATTTTCACTTTTTAATGTCCATAGGGCCAGCCATGGTGGTGGCACCTGTAGGCCCAGCTACTGGGGAGGCTGAGGCAGGAGGATCGCTCGAGCCCAGGAGTTGGAGGCTGCAGTGAGCTATGACTGCATCACTGCACTCCAGCCTGGGCAGCAGAGCAAGACCCTGTCTCTAAAGAAAGAAAGAAAGAAAAATAACTTCCATGGAGCCTTCTTTACCCACTAGCCAGAAACGGGGTTCCCTCCTTGCCGGCAGGCACACAGGTACCGCGGACTTTAGCCACACAGACAGAGCAAGGTGGACCCCGAATCACCCCATCTGGTGTTTGCTGCCCCTGCACTGTTTGAAGTGTTCAAATCTGCAGCCCCGTTGCTGTGGAGGCCGCCCTCCCTGGGTCACGCTTGCCATAAACTGGCTGGGAGAGGGGCTTGGACGAAGGTGGGTCCGGCACGGCAGAGATACAGGAAGGACAGCTCCCAAGCAGAGCTCGCTCCTCAGCGTCCAAACACACCTTGCGGATAGAATCGCGCCTTCCAGAAGCTACGTCCGAGACCTAAACCCTGGCACCTGGGACCGTGGCCTTACTTGGAAACGGGGTCTTTGCAGATGTCGTCAGTTAAGGTGAGGTCAGATGGGAATAGGACGGGCCCTAGATCCATCGAGGGCTGTACTTATCAGAAGAGGGAAATGTGGACACAGACACGCACAGGGGGAGAAAGCTACGTGGAAACGGAGGCAGAGATGGGGGAGATGCAGCGGCCACAAGCCGAGGATTGCCGGAAGCCACCGGGCACAGGAGAGAGGAGTGGGACAGACTGACCCCCAGAGCCTCGGGAAGGAGGCAGTCCTGCCGACACTTTGCATTTCGGACTTCTGGCCTCCTCCGAAACCCCAAGAGAGCACACTTCTGTTGTTTAAGCCACTCGGTTTGTGGTGCTGCGTTACGGCGGCGAATGCACCCTGTCCCCGGCGGGTGCTGGCTCCCCGAGACCCTCCCTGCCTCGGTTAAGATCTGAAACAAGCTGACCCTCCAAGACCACGCAGACCAAACTGCGGGTGGGGCGGGAGGAAGACTTACCACGATGGTGTCTGCCCCGATGACCACGTCCGGGGTCCGGAGGTCTTTCTGTAAGAAAGCCACCCTCGGGCTTAGAAGGGACGTTCCCGTGCGTCTCACACAAACACTTTCAAATCACACTTGTTCCGTCGGTTTTCATTCTTTCGTGGGGGTGCGGCTGGTACAGTTCCAGTAAAGGGTGATTTGGGGTCCAAACCCTC